CTTCTGTTACAGGTAAGCACAAGGATATTTTATTGTAAATCAGAGCAATGGAACAGCAGTATAGAAATATAACAAATAAATAGATGTGTTGTATAGCATTATTCCTGATTGTTGAATTGCTAGGTCAACACCATTAAGAATGCCAAGTAGAGAAACTCCTTACATGTCCCAGATTGGATCATCACAAAATAATAAAATCAGCATACCAGATGCTTTTGGATTGCGAACTCCTCAGCATTATCAAAATATACCAACATCTTCACTCCCAGTGGTTACAAGATGCCCCATCAGTCTTGCTGATCTTTTACAGAAGCAACATTTAGGTAAGAAAATTCAGTAAGTGATTTACATTTCTAAGATGTCACATTTGTTTTCTGTTCAGTGCAAAGTGCAGTGTATTGATTGTCATCCGTCAATGACATTAAACATTGGCCCTGACATGTAATTGTGTGTGCCTCACTGAAAGAAAAACTGCTTCTTAAATTCTGTGCAAAATATGCATTTCAGAGACTTTGTATGTATACATTATTTTTGCAAAACAGTTAATATTAACCTAATTAAAAGTGGGTAATAGGGCACTAAGATGAGAAATCACAGGTGGGGACAGGCTGTTTAATTCACTGAGGTATACTAGCTTAGGACAGCATATTTCTTAATTTAAGCAACTGACCTTGAACAAAATACCTGCTGTAAAAACTAATTTACAGAGAGATATGTGTAGTTATGTACTGGAGCATTACAGTTCTGAAGTGTTACAACAGTCCTTTTAGAGGCAGTATTAAAATGACATTTTATAGTGGCTAAATACCAGTATTCTTGAGGTAGTAAACACTTGCAAGCAGTAGACCTTCGTGGTCTCTGTGCATCACACTGATAGAATATAGTGCACCTGTGCATATCCCAATTGGTGACATTCAAAGCTAAAAAGGATTTTCGCGCCCATTCTCTGTATCATGCGTGGGGGTTTATACTGTACATGCCCACAGGGCCAGGCGCAAGGATCCTGCCAGTTTTATTCTGACCGCCACACTGATCAGACCTCTATCCGTGCTTTGTTCGGTAACTTTTTTTTTGCAATTTCTCCTCCTCTTCAGAAGCTTTTTGGAGTCCATTGTCTCCTTCAAATCTACAGGACAACAGATTCAGAGGCTTAGTGACTGTTCTCCAAATATTTCAATGGGGCTGGGACCCTGCCCCTCCCCATCACCTCCAACTCTCTCTCCCTGTGATTTCCACCCTGGACTTTCCCTTTTCCAGCGTATGGCAAAACATTGGGGGTTATTTAAACGGTGCTTGAACTGCAGCAGCAAAATTGTGCCTCCAGATGGCCACTCCCTTGGTCTACTCTGCTTCAGGGAAGCCCACTGAGTTGAGTCTTGCATACACTGCTCCAAATTATCAAAGCAAATGAGAAAAAAAATGAGCAGCTAGACTCTGTACCACACTTCTTGAATCAGCACTCTCACAACCAATGGCTTTGTCTTACAACACCTCCAGCCACGCTTTGATATCAACCTCTGCATCAACATTGACCCTGGCCTTATCACTGGCTCCAACGCCTTCTGATTTGGAAACCCCCGCTTCTGCCAGAAAACGCAGGGGAGGGTAAGGAACATAAGCTAGACAAGCAAAAGAAACACAAGAGAGACATGGAAAAGCCCAAGAGCTCTCCAAGACATCCCAACAAGGCTGTTTCAACCCCGCGCCTTGTGTCAGAACTGCCTCCAGCTCCTCCTCTCCAGTTTCTTGACTCGCCCATTTCTGTTCAAACCTTTGCTGGATTGACATTGCTCCGTTACAGCCCATTCGTTTTTTCAGACAGACTGTGAGATGGACTTTACTCAACAGGCATCCCGGTCCCTCTCCTCCAGTGCTGAAAGCATCCATACCGAACAGAGAGAATGGAACACTGGATATCTTCTACCTGCTTCACCACTCTCCATCACCTCTATGATGATTGGGATCGATCTCTGGGCTTCCAGCCTCCTCTGCCGTCTCCCACCCCATGGGATCAATGGCAGTGGCAATACTTAAGTGGAGCATACCCCCTTCCCTCCTCCCTCTCTTGGCTCTTGGATCAAGCACCAATGGAGTGGGACTGACAATCTACCTCTTCCTGCCTCTCTCGCTACTGAGATCCCAGTCCAAGGCTGGAAGCAACTCTCTTGAAGCCTCCCCCTCTGATAGATCAGCCCTGCAAACAGATGGTTAGGCACAAGACCTTGCCCCCAGTACCAATACAACCAGCACCGAACGACCTGATACCGACACACCTCTTGGAGAGCCCTCTGACACAGGAGAGTCCTCAAGCGCATCCGTTCATGAGTCAGGGTGATGAGTCAGAGCATTGCAATGTCAACACTGACCCATCTTCTACACCCAGGTTGCGGAATATCTCCCTATCTTCCAATCAGAAGACCTGCAATTCTATGAAGAGTTCATAAAGCACTTGACTCCTACCATAGCTCTATCCACGGTGCAACCTCCACCCACCATCGCTTTGACATAGTCCAGATAGACATGTTGACAGCTGTTGCCCTACCGATGACCTCAGCCCTCCTACAGGCCCCTGGTCTAACCCAGCGTCTACTTGTTGCGGAATTAGAATCATAGAATCATAGAATCAGAGTTGGAAGGGACCTCCAAGGTCATAGAATCATAGAGCTGGAAGGGGCCATACAGACCATCTAGTCCAACCCCCTGCCCAATGCAGGACCAGCCTAAAGCATCTCTGACCAATATTCATCCAGCCCCTGCACAATGCAGGAAATTCACAAATATTCCCCTCCACACACACAGTGACCACTGTTCCATGCCCAGAAGATGACAAGAAACTGATGAGGATGGACCAAGAGCTTCAGAATAAACTAATGGAGAAAAAGGAAATGGAGGGAAGGTCAGACCTGTAAAGAGGAGTATATGAGAGTTACTAGGTACTGCAGATCAGCCATCAGGGAAACCAAAGCTCAGTACGAGTTGGGTCAGGCCAGGAGGGCTTGCTACAGATATGTGAGAAGCAAACGCATGGTAAAAGAGGCAATTGAACTGCTATTGGGAGTAGAAGGAGAAACTCTGGTGGAGGATAGAGAAAAAGCAGACAGGCTTAATGACTTTTTTGCCTCTGTTCTCTGGTGGTCCAGGAGTGGGGCAGTCCTCCAGACTCCTTACTCCTGGGAAACAGCTCCTCACCTCTGAAGGCAGGGCCGACAGACTCTTTAGTCACAGAGGGGAGGAGCTTGTGCTCCTGCTTCCCAGTCTAGTCAGCCCTGCCTTCAGAGCAGGAAGCTGCAGACTGTGCTCCGTGGAGCACATTAGTCACCAAAGAAAAGAAAGAGAAAGAAGAATGAAGAAAGAAGACAGAGAGGAAGGAGGAGGTAGATAACTCTTCTAGCCTGTTCTCCGCTTCCTCCCCCTTTGGTTATTCAGCCGCAGGGCGGCTTGGTGATCAACGGACGTGGATCTGGGAGACCCCCGGGGAACTGTGCCACCATGACATCTCCCACGCCTCACTTTTCCAGCCCTGGGGGACTGGTGAAGCTTGTTCCTGGAGCTTGCTGGTGATTGTGAGCTCCGGAGAGCGGCGGTCGAGTTTGTCTTGCCTGGTGGGACAGACATGGTGAGACTGCAGAGTCCCGGGCAGACGTGGAGCCGATCGGTGTTTTCCTCTGTTTTTCTCATGCAGCGCAGGCGACATCGAGGGAAGCAGAGAGGAGAACTGGTCGCTTGGAACATGGTAAGATTGCTCCTGCGGGCTGGGGGGGGACTATGGGAGGGCGGTTTCTACCCCCCCTTGCTTCTCCCCTCACCTGTTTTTCCCCTCAACTCCCCATTGTGGGCTGCATTTGGGGAGCATGAGATGCGGGGTGGCTGTGCCTTCTGGAGGGGGAGGTATGAGATAGGTGTTTGCAGCAACCCCCCCTTTTTTCTTGGACATTTGGAGAGAGGCTGGGTAGTATGCCTAATCCTCCTTACAGACTTCCAGGTTCCTCCCTCCCTTACAAGGGGACTCACTTCCCAGAGATTAGACTTTTTATGGCCAGGAGCCTGGGGGAGAGGACAGGCCTGTTCCTCTGGGGACTCCAAAAAAGGCAGGAAGCAGCCATCTTGAGTGATTCCTCCTACTTTCACTATTCAGATACTCCCAAAATGGCTGACCAGGCAGGGACATCCTCTGGCCAGGGATTGCAGGAGGCCACCTGCACCTTTGATTTGGCTCTCACACTGGGACCCCAGCAGGGGATGAAACCCAAGCTAATTTGCTTTCTTGGATCAAGCTTGAGATGAGAAAGGAGTTCAGGGCCATGTGTCAAGAGTCCCAGAGTGCTGCCAGGGCAGCAGAGGGGCCCTCTCAGGGTTCCTTAGGAGCCAAAAGACACCTGTCTAGTGAAATGGAGGATCCTATTCCTAACAAGAACAGAAAAAAGGACTCTAAAACAAATAGGGAGCATAGCCCTCTGCTGAGTGACCATGGTTCTGAGTCTGCAGTATCTGATTCCCCTAAAGAAGAGGGCGAGCTATCAGAGGAGGAAGAGGAGGTTATTCCAGTGGTACAATCTAGGCTCTTTCCTGAAGAGCTTTATGGTAAACTCCTTCCTAAGGTCATCAGAACCATGGAGTTCTCTCACACACCAAAAGACCAGGGAGAAGAGGACTCAGAGTTTCCTGTAGGTTCAGAAAAGACTATGCCCAAGACCCACCTTAAGCCTACAGGGGTGCCATTACCAGTGGCATTTTATAAGGTTATGAAGGCAGAGTGGGAACACCCTCCCAAGCCCAAAACAACTCCCCCTGTGTTTGGAAAGTTTTATTCCCTTATTCCAGAGGCATCCAAGAAGCTCAGCCTGCCAGCAGTGGATGACCCTATCAACAGTCTGGTATCTACTTCAGTGCTTCCCGTGGGAGCGGATGGCCTTCTGAAAGATAACAGCGACAAGCGTATTGAGCAAATGCTGAGAAGAGATTTTGAGGCATCTGCAAACGCTCTCAGAGCCTCAGTTTTGGGATCCTTGTTCGCTAGAGCAGCCTATGCATGGGCTTCAGATCTGGCCAAGACCGATAGTGGTATCCCAAAGGACCTGAAAGATGAATTTTAAAAGATTGCCTTAGCCACAGCCTTTGTTGCGGATGCCACGCTCGATGCTGTGCAACAATCAGCGAGAGGCATAGCATGCAGTGTCACGGCGAGGCGCAATACTTGGCTACAAAACTTGGATGTTGATCCACCGGCACGTACCAAGGTAGCAGCAGTTCCTTTCAAAGGTACCAATTTGTTTGGTGATGGCCTGGAGAGATACCTTGTGGAAGACAAGGACAAAAAGAAGGTTCTTCCATCAAAGAAAAGGGACGTGAGAGATAGGAGGCGTCAGCAGTCCTTTCGGGATGCCAGGAGAGAGAACAAGCCCAGCTATGCTCGGTTCTTCAAAGATAAGTGGCAACACAAACCCAAGGATACAAGACCCCAGTCCTTTCAGTCTAAGCAACGACACAATGCCAAGAGTCCCAAGAAGGGTCCCCAAGCATGACTGTGCCGAAAAGAAGATACAAATGGAAGTGGGGGGCAGACTCCTACTGTTTGCCAAAACCTGGCAGGGGTCTGTCACAGACAGGTGGGTCCCTCCAAACTGCTTCCTGGAAATGCCAAAGAAGAAGTCCAGAGACAAACACAATCTGCTACTCCAGATTATCTCCCACCTGCTGGAAATAAAAGCTATAGAACTGGTTCCAACCTCGGAGAGATCTCACGGCGTCTACTCCATCTTATTTGTAGCTCTCTCCCAGCTTGCCCCGCCTGGGTTCTCGGTCCTACACCAATCACGGAATAGGGGGCAGGGGGGAGCGGCGATACTTGAGCGAGAGGCTTACTCCTTCAGGGCGCTCCCGGCCGCGGAGATTGCGGACATAGAGTGTGTCGGTCTGGTGCTGGAGGCCGAGGAGAGTTTGGCGATCTGGCTGGTGTACCGACTGCCAGTAGTCTGCTGTCCCTACTGGAGGCCGTAGCAGGCTGGGCGTTGGAGCACCCTCGGCTTTTAGTCTTGGGTAACTTCAACGTCCATGCTGATGACGCGGCCTCAAGTCGGGCTACGGACCTGGTGGCGTCCATGGCGTCACTAGGACTCTCCCAACTGGTATCGGCTCCCACGCATCAGGCCGGGCACATGCTCGACTTGATCTTCGCGGCGGGGAGTATAGTGGACCGGATCACCACAATGGAGGTACCATGGTCGGACCACTATGCCCTGAAGGCTCGCGTAAGTGTCCCGCCCCGACCCTGTTTAGGCGGCAAGCAGATTTTAGCTCGCCCACGGAGCTTGATGGACCTGATGCGGCTTCAGGCGGCTCTGCGAGATCCAATGCCCCCTGACGGTTTGTTAGATGAGCTCGTGGATGATTGGCATAGCCGATTCGCCACGGCCATCGACGTGATCACTCCCCGGCGCCCTCTGCGCCCTCGCTCTAGGCTTGCCCCCTGGTACACCCAGGGGTTGCAGCTTATGAAACGGGCTCAGACGGCTAGAGAGACGGTGGCGTCGAGCTCGCAACGAGGCTACAAGAGCATCTTATAGGACGTTTATGAGATCCTACGAGATGGCAGTCAAGGCTGCAAAGAGAGATTTCTACGCAGCCAGGGTTGCATCCGCTAGCTCTCGCCCGGCCCAATTATTTAGGATGATTCGATCATTGACAACTCTGCCTCAGGGCAGACAAAATAGTAGGGAATTGGATATTGGCTGTGAGGCTTTTGCGAGCTATTTTGCAGATAAAGTCTTGACGCTCCGCCGCGACCTCCCCGCAACAGTTGAGACAGTAAGCGAACTCGAGGCCCCTTGCGCGGCTTCGCCGGGTTTGGAAAGCTTTGGCTGACTCAGCTTGGAGGAAGTCGATAGGGTGCTTGCAGCTGTGCGTCCAACCACTTGCAGCCTGGATCCGTGCCCCTCCTGGCTCATTAAAGTGGGCCACGAGGGGTTTCGAGGTGCCTTGAGGGAGATAATCAACAAGTCCCTGTCAGAGGGGCAGTTCCCTGAGGCACTTAAGGAAGCGATGGTCCGCCCTCTCTTGAAAAAGCCAACGTTGGAACCGGCGGAATTGGCCAGCTATCGACTGGTGTCCAATTTGCCCTATTTGGGCAAATTGATTGAGAGGGCAGTGGCGACACAGCTGCAGGGCTTCCTAGATGACACTTCCGCCCTCGACCCATTCCAGTCCGGTTTTCGCCCTGGGCATGGAACGGAGACTGTACTGGTTGCCCTTACTGACGACCTCCGGAGACATCTGGATCGAGGCGGTGTGGCGGCACTGTTGTTGCTCGACCTGTCGGCCACATTTGACACGATTGACCATCAGTTGCTTGCCCACCGCCTTGCCGACGTGGGGATTCAGGGGCTCGCTCTTCAATGGCTTGTCTCTTTCCTTCAAGGTCAGGGACAGAGGGTGGAACTAGGGGAGCAGCGGTCCCGGAGGCACCTGCTTGAATGCGGGGTGCCTCAGGGGGCAGTTCTCTCCCCTATGCGCTTTAATATCTATATGCGCCCCCTCGCCCAGATTGTCCGGAGGTATGGGCTTGGGTGTCATCAATATGCCGATGACACCCAGCTCTATCTGATGTTGGGCGGCCAGTCGGACTCTGATCCAGAAGATCTGCACCGGGCGTTGCAGGCCGTATCTGGATGGCTCAGGCTGAGTCGGTTGAAGCTGAACCCGGCGAAGACGGAGGTCCTGTGTCTGGGTCGGAACGGGATGGGACTGGGGCTCCCGCTCCCGGCCTTCGACGGGGCGCCTTTGGTGCCAGCTTCGGAGGTTAGGAGTTTGGGAGTGCTCCTGGACTCCACCTTAATGATGGAGGCCCAGGTGGCAGCCACTGCCAAAGCAGCCTTTTACCATCTTTGGCTGGTGCGGCAGTTGATTCCCTTTCTCAGCCACGAAGACCTATCCACAGTGATCCATGCGACGGTCACCTCGAGGCTAGACTACTGCAATGCTCTCTACATGGGGCTGCCTTTGTCGCTGATTCGGAGGCTGCAACTAGTGCAAAATGCGGCGGCCAGGCTGGTTGCGGGGGCCTTGAAATGGGACCACATCCAGCCTGTGCTGAAAGCGCTGCACTGGCTGCCTATAGCATTCCGGATTCGCTTCAAGGTGCTGGTGCTTACCTTTAAAGCCCTACATGGCCAAGGTCCGGACCGTCTTTCCCCGTACAGGCCCCAGAGAGCACTACGGTTGGGGTCGCAACATCGTCTTGCGACCCCGGGCTTCAAAGAGGCCAGGCTTGCTGCCACGAGGGCTAGGTCCTTTTCGGTGGTGGCTCCTATCTGGTGGAACGAGCTCCCGGAGGAGATCAGGGCCCTGCGGGACCTGTTACAGTTCCGCAGGGCCTGCAAGATGGAGCTCTTCCGCCAGGCTTTTGAATAGGAGCCGCCGCCACCACCACTACCATCAGTGAGGGCCAGAACAGCAGCACCGCTGGCTGAGGCTGAGTAGCCAAGGAACATCGGGGGGCCACATCATCCTCCCTTTGCCCCAAGGGCAGGTGCAATAGGGAGAGAGATGTTTGTCACGCAGGATGGACATCGCCCATTGTATTAAATTGTTTTAAATGTTTTACTGTGTTTTTATCGCACTGAGTGCCATATTGTGAATTACGGTGCTGCATTGCACCCTATATTGTAAGCCGCCCTGAGCCTGTGTGCAGGGAGGGCGGGGTATAAATAAAATTAATTAATTAAATAAATAAATATTTACCGTGCCGAAGAAAAATTGAGAGGTCAGAGCGATACTGGACTTAAAATGGCTAAACAGATGGGTCTTAACCAAGAAGTTCAAGATGGAGCCGGTGAAAACCATCTTAACCTCCATCCAGCAAGGGGACTTCATGGCCTCTAAAGACGTATCGGAGGCTTATCTACATGTGCCAATCAGGGAATCTCATCGGAAATTCCTTCGCTTTGCCTACAGCAGGAGTCACTATCAGTATCGGGTCCTCCCATTTGGCCTGAAGTCGTCGCCAAGGGTGTTCACCAAGATCCTGATAACCCTGGTGGCCCATCTGAGAACAGTGGGCGTGTCCTTATTTCCATACCTTGATGACATCCTATCAACAGACGACGCAGTCATTGGAGATCACTCTGAAGGAGCTTGAACGTCATGGGTTTGTGATCAACAGGACAAAGAGCTCATTAGTGCCAAGTCAATCCATCCTACACATAGGAGTACAAATCAACACAGAGAGGGACAGGGTGTTCCTCTCTCAGGACCGACAACAAAAGTTATGTCAATTGACTACTCAAAACGTGTTTGAGACACTGAAGGTGGAAGTAAAGCATCTAGCACAACTTCTGGGGATGCATGTGTCCAGTCAGGAAGTCTTACAATGGTCAAGGTTTCATGCAAGATTCCTACAGCGTTTTCGCCTTCCATTCCAGTCAGACATAGTGCAGAAAAGGACCCGAGAGGTGGAGCTCCCGGAGTCAGTGAGGCAGCAACTATTATGGTGGCTGGAGCCGAACCGTTTCAGGGAGGGAGTGCCTCTCAGGGAACTTCCTCGGGTAGTGATCATGACAGATGCGAGCTTGTTCAGCTGGGGAGCACATGCAGAAGAAAGAATGATACAGGGCACATGGACAGTGAAGGATAAGTCCAACAGCATGAACCTGCTGGAACATAGGGCAGTCAGATTAGCTATAGAAAAATTTCGGGGGTTGATACAGGGCCATCACATCCTGATCCAGACGGACAATATGACGGCAAAGGCGTATGTCAGTCGCCAAGGTGGGACACGCTTCAAACGGCTACACGAAGAAGCAAGCAAGCTAATACAGTGGGTGGAGACATACATCCTGTCCATAAAAGCCATTCACATGGCAGGCCGAGAGAACACAGTGGCAGACTGGCTGAGCCATCAGTGGGTGGATCAATCCGAGTGGATGCTAAACAGGGCAGTGTTTGGGCAAATCTGTGAGAGATTCAGGACACCAGAGGTGGACTTATTTACCACAGAGCAGAACCGTCAAACACGACAGTTCATGTCCAGGTTAAAAAGTCCTCTTGCTATAGGAACAGACGCCCTGCACCTAGTGTGGCCACAAAAGCTTCTATACGC